CTAAACAAGAGAACTACTTATCGATTGATGATGTAATGAAAGATTGTGCAATGACAACAAAAGGCAAAAATGGCTTGGCACGGAACGTGTTAAATAGGAAAAAAGTAGGAAATGTAGGGAAATCACATTTTTCCTCGAAACGTTCTTCATCCACCCGTAAACAATACTGCGTCCTTTATAAAACGATATTATTATTCGTACTTTTGCTGTATAATCGCCAAGTCGAAGGTTCGTGGTATCGTCGACAGCATATTTTCAGCTAAATGAGCGGTGACTTCCTCGATGCTAGCGGCCGCGACTCCGACTTCTCGTGGCTGAAGTGCAAGCAACGTGTTCAGGCAAGCGTACGTTTCCGCTTGTGCGAAACTGATGTCCGCGTTTGGATGCATTCCGAACATCGACGGATCGTCGTTGAGTGGGAAAGTTTTTATATATTCGATGTAGTCGTCGAAGTTCGCCGTGCCCGATAACTGAAACGTGTGGTAGAAACGAACAGGGACTATTCAAGTCAGGGAAAAATAATCGAGAGTTGAGGTCCCTCGCGAAGAGATCATTTTATGATAATACGATACGAAAGAATCGAGTTCAATATCTATTTGTAAATTTTTAGACCCGAGCGCCATTTTATAGGGGCTCTCTTTACGAGTGCTGCTATCCCTTTTACGACTCTTTCTGTCAAATTTATCGTTATATCTTTTATCAAATTATTCAAAGTGTACACGGAAGATATCGATTATTTGAAGAAAGAAGTTCTGTGCCACAAAGCTATTTGCACAAATTGTTATTATAGTACGTGATAATATTTTCTCGTGTCAAATCTCTTTGGAAACATGTATCCGTCGTATATGTATCTTCAAATATTATTTTCGAAATGTTAGCGAAAGATTTGAACGTTCTTCACGTCGATATTGTTTAATGCGAAAAGGAGGATCCAGGTGGGGAAAATATTAGCGGTCTAGTTAATGAACTTCAGTGTTTATAGTATTCATAATTTTCTACACTATCAAGTTGTCTATGGAACATACCTGAGCGTAATATCCTTCTTCATCGAATTTATGCGACGGCGACAAAATTTCTGGTTTATAAAAATCTTGCAAGATGGTCAGCACGCATCGACGATCCCAATCGTCTGTTATTCGGCCTCCATAATTGATGTGACCGGCTGTGTAAATTAGCACCTGTTTCGATAGAATAAACGAAATGATAAGACTAAACTATACCATAATTTTATCCTTAGTTTATATAGCAAATTTTCTTTTTTATCTTTCCTATTTTAAGTTTCATTCGTTCCAGTTAATCTTGTCTATTTTACATTTCATCCATGTCATTCTATTCTTCCATTTTGAGTTCCACTTTACCCAGATTAAATTAGCAAAGATATTTCTTTACTTTGACGTTTCACCTTAAACGGAACAGCATCGTATTCCAACAGGAACATGTGTAGCTGCGATATGCATATTCTTAAATCGCCGTCGGTAAATTCGTACGCTATGTTGAATCCCAATGAACCAAATTTCCTACGTTCCAACAACACCGAGTGAAACAGGCACAAAGAAAACACCATCCACTTAAAATGCTGAACTTTCGCATGATCAGAGTTTATAAAGCTTTGCATTTCTGTCACTTGAGTCAAGTATGATCGGAACATATTTGCCTGAAAGGGGAAATTCGTTCACACTTTGAGCTTAACAATGTGTTGAATTCAATTCAAACGGGAAGAGATGTTGGAATCAGTTATTTTCATTTTTCACTTATATAATAGTTCGTGTGTCCATGTCTCGATCTCGAAAAATAAATAACCGTACACATGCAATCACAATCGACATTGCTTCGTGAAATATTTAAATGATTTACGTGTAGTTTAATCTAAAATATTTACACCATTAAAATGGCGTTGCGTAATTTTAATCGAAACAATTATTAACAAATGAATGCAAATCGTTTCCCTTTGTTGTACTAATAACAAATGTTGCATTTCTAAAATACTATTACATAAATATTATTCGTTTGCTGTCCTTTCTGTTGAAATTATGCAAATCAATTTTAATAACATGTATCGACTGCCTATATGTATACACATTGTGTGATATATAAATTATAAATAATTTACAAACATAAGTATAAAAATTTGTAAATACATAAATATGTATTTTATATATTGTGCAACATATAAAAATTCGTGCAAAGTTATGGTTACTCTAAAGAAAAAGTAATCAAACATAAAAAATAATGATGATTCTACAGTAGAGAAAATGCATTGTATATTCTACTATAATAACCAAACAGATATCTTTTATCTTGACAGATCGTGAATGTAAAAGTGATGTTAATAAAAAGCGAAAGAAGGAGAATAAATTTAGTTAGAATAAATGCAACGTTTAGAAAGACTTTTAGGTACGAGGGGTAAAATAAGATGATCTCGAATGGGGGTAAAAGAGCAAAGTAAGAATCTTTGAATCCCAAATGCTGCGATTGTTTTACTTTTATTCCCCGTGGTGGTTCGACCGTCATTTTGCTGCTGTTCTGAAGAATGCTGACGGGAAAGTCTGGCGAAGGTGCGGAGGTAAGCCATAAACGAAAATCACGATGGTTTCTCGCCCGTGATAGACGCTCGACCAGCGAATCCAGTTCTGGCATCCAGCTCGGAGCTAAATGACAATTCTGAAAAAAATATATTTAATGAAATTCTGAAACAATATATTTAACGTGTTACGACGCAAATTAATTAGATCTGAACGAACATATTTACATCCTATTTTAGATTTATTTTAGATTCCTAACAATGCAGCTAAGAAAATTTAATTTCCAAAATAAAATTTGTTCTACCTTGTGTATTATGCGTATTTTTTATACTTTTTTATATTTTAAATAGTTTGAATTTCTCATAAATATATCCACA